ATGGTGATCATGGTGCTCCAAACACCAGTGCCCAGTGCAGAAAAAACGCCCAACGTACGTTTCGGTGCAGAGAGATGCACCTTCGTCAGGGGCCAACAGATAACTGAAGAGAAGCCTCTTAAATACCCCAATTGCCAGGAAGCATGATTACCTTGTAGCCAATGGAGTGTGGGGTGTATACCTCCCCAGCTGCCTCTAATATCCTGGCTATTCCTCTGTGATTGCTAATGCTCATTCATCTGTATGAAGGGGAAATCCCTCAGCCGGTCACGTGACCTGTGATGTCATGCGTCACGTGACGTATCCGGCATTCTCCTAACGGGCGTGTCTCATTCATCATAGTGCTGCAGTACTGCCCATCCGAGCCTCTCCTGTCCATCATCCTCACATGGGTTGATCCCCTGTGACAGATGGGCGGAGCTAGGTATTCTCTGTGTATGGAGAAACCGAAATTGTCCAAATTAAGGCTCAAATTGATAAGCTGCATATTGATGATGTATCATTCCAAAGTACCAATGTGTACTATATAGGATGTACAGAATCAGCTGAAAATATAAGGCAGTGCTGATTACATATTATTCTAATATTGAATCTATTAAAGATGTAGTAAAGAATATGAGAGGACACCCCAATAATAAGAGAAAAATTGAATGATAAGGGGTCCTGGGATGTTGTTAACTCCCACTCCCCCATCCCAGGCAAGGATATAAGATAATAAATATATTTAGTGTTCATAGAACCCATGCTAGGATGCAAACTTAACATGGTACATCCTGCCGCTATATCCTGTACACTGAGTCACTTGACAATATGGCCCTCTGAATGACCAGATATGACTTAGTCCGTGAAATAAAAATAATAATAATAAGGCTAGCATTCTTTTTGTCAAGAGGTCTTTAAACTTATGGCACCTGAGGTTCCTAGTTGGTCTCCCATACAAGTACTAACCAGGCCCAAGTCTGGATGGCTTCTGAGATCTGACGAGATCAGGCATTTTCAGACTGGTATGGCCATTGATATTTTCATTCAAGTGCTCAGCAAGCTTGGTCTAGGAACATTATTGGTATTATAATCATTATATAGCTATTTCCTTGGGAAAATTCAAGCATTAGCAATTTAGTGGTCCTCATCCGGTAATCATGAGAATAAATTTATATGATAAAAAATAATATAAAAAATAATAATAAATAGAAAAGAATAGTGATAATAGTAGTAATAGTAATAAGCAAAGAATATATCCATTGTGGAACAAACCGCGCTATATTTACAAATTTACAAGTGTATCAGGCCATAAGGCTCACTCAGAATAGATTAGTGCAGAGATCACCCGCCGAGTACCACTGCCCGTATATAGGTCTGAGTCCTACACCTGGTATCAGTGATCTGCAATAAATGGTGTATATGAGAAACCTTCGTTAAGTCCCAAGGGTGACAGGGTTTTGAGCTTATAGATCCAGAAGCTCTCCCTTTGGAGTAGCTTCTTGTCTAAATCCCCCCCTCTTGGTCCCAAGGTAACCCTTTCAATACCACTAAATCTGATTCCTTCAGATGAGCCCCCATGATGTAGTTTCAAATGTTTAGAGATAGGAGTGTCGATTTGTCTTGTGGGGTTTACCGAATTGACATGTTCCCGTATCCTAAGTTTAAACATCCTAAAGGTTTTTCCCACATACAGTTTTTTGCACGAACAGGAAAGTAAGTAGATAAGCCCTTTGGACTGACAGTTAAAGAAATTCTTTACTTTGAATTCCTGTGTGCCAAGGGAGTCTGGGAATGTTTTGGAGGGTCTAAGTATAAACCTACATGCCTTGCATTTCCCACATTGATAGGTCCCTAAGACTGGGGACTTCAGCCATGATGTTTTCTGGGGTGTAGTCTTGAGATGGCTAGGGACCAACATGTCCTTGATGTTGCGTCCCCTTCTTGCTGTTACTGAAGCCTTATGTGTGATTACCTTCCGTAAGTGTGGGTCTTGTTGTAGAAGGGGCCAGAATCTGTCCAAGATTTGCATCATTTGATGCCAGCCGGCATCAAAATTCCCTATACATCTTATGACTGCCTGTGATGGCTCTGGGTTATGTTCGATTAGAAGGTCTTTCCGATCTGACAGTAAGGCCCGCTTATAAGCGTGCTTTAAGCATCTATTCGGGTACCCCTTTTGTTTGAATTGGAGTTGTAAGGTCTTAGCCTTTAGTTTAAAATCATCCAATGTAGAGCAATTGCGTCTAAGGCGCAAGTATTGTCCAGTTGGAATCCCTTTCTTTAGGGAAGGGGGATGATGGCTAGACCAATTCAGCAAGTTATTAGTTGCCGTTGGTTCACGGAACAGAGTTGAAATGAGGCACCCTTCTTCTGTCAGCGAGATGGTGAGGTCCAGAAAATTAATTCTATTGCCACCAATTTCACTAGTCAGTTTGAGATTAATATTGTTGGAGTTGAGAGTGTGGACGAAGTCCAAAAACAGTTCCGAGGTATCTGTCCAAATGATAAACACGACATCGATGTATCTTTTCCAGATTTTTATATGCTTTGTATATTTTACCATATGATCCGTGAATACCATTTGAGACTCCCACCACCCCAGGTGGAGGTTGGCATATGATGGGGCACAAGCCGTCCCCATCGCAGTCCCTCTCACCTGGTGATAATACTTTCCCTGAAAGGTAAAGTGATTGTGTGTTAAGATAAATTGCATCAGATCTTAGACGAATTTATTGTGTCTTAGTGATATTACTGGTTTACTGTCCAAGCTAGCTTTCAGATGTTCTAGTCCAACTTCATGTGGAATCGAGCTGTACAGGCTCTCCACATCAAGGCTACATAAAATAGCGTGACCACTAATTTTTGTTCCTTCGATGATACTTAATGTGTGTTTCGTGTCTTTAAGATATGAAGGAAGTTGAGTGACTAGTTTCCTCAGGATCTGATCCACGTAGAGACTGATGTTTTGAGTCAGATTACCTCTACCAGAGACTATGGGTCTCCCATTTAGTACCGGTTGTTGTTTGTGTACCTTTGGGAGTGCATAGAAGGTGGCAGTGACGGGATTCTCGACAAACATAAAATTATATTCATCCCTGGAAATTAGAAGTTGAGATAAAGCTGTATCAAGGATTATTTTCAACTCTGCCAAGTATTTTTTAGTGGGGTCACCCTTTAGAACTTCATACGTATTACTATCCCCAATTAGTCTTTGTACCATTGAGACATAATCAGGTTTGTTTAGAATGACTGTATTG